TTATAAAGCAGCTTAGGATCAGGATACCTGAAAGATTGTCTCACCCCCTTATAGCACTATATCACTGTGCTCTGCAGGTGGAGGCTTCAGAATACAAAGGCTTCTCCCTATCCACCAGCAGAGAGCTTGCATGCTTTTTCATTCTCGTTTTTTTAAAAAAATATTATGGGTGAAAGCATTCCTATGGAGAAACTGAGCTTCTGCTGCCCTCTCCTGGCTAAATCATAAAATGCAACCTCATCCTATATCTATCTACCGTATTTTTCGCTCTATAACACGCACCAGACCATAACATGCACGTAGTTTTTAGAGGAGGAAAACATGAAAAAAAATATTCTAAACCAAATAGTGGATATATGATTTTTGTGGTTCATGCTGTGGCCACAGACATGTGATCTGACAGTGAGTTTGGAGTAGCCCAATGCAAAAATCCTGAGGATCCATGTGGATCCATGCTTTGTAACCATGGAAGAGGGAAGGAAGGGGAACCATGGATCCTCTGCTCACGACTGCAGCAGATCCCCCCCACCCCGCCACCCGCAGGCATTCGCTCCATAACACGCACAAACATTTCCCCTTACTTTCTAGGAGGAAAAAAGTGAGTGTTATGGTGCAAAAAATACAGTAAGTTTTTAAAAAACCAAACAAACAGCAGCAGCAAAGCATGATCCAAAAACCAATCTTTCATAAGGGAGCCGTTTCCAAAGGAAGAGCTGTGAGAGAGACTTTGTCTGTAATCATGGGGTGGCTGGGCTCAATCGATCAAAAGATTACGAGTCTTGAGGTTATTTTTTTGGTTGCTATTTTGTTAACATTGTGGTTTTATAGATTGCGAATGCTGTACTTTGTGAATCCTATCATATGTCCTTTGTTGCAATTGTGCCATTAGGCTTCTTGGGGGGGTTTTAGTTGTTGCACTGATGGCATTTTATGGATTGTAGTTGTTTAAACTGATGACTTCTTAATTGCTCTGTATGATTTCTGCTGTATTTGTTCTATTATGTTATTACAGTGGTATCTCTGGTTATGAACTTAATTCGTTCCGGAGACCTGTTCTTAACCTGAGGTACCATTTTAGCTAATGGGGCCTCCTGCTGCCGCCACGCGATTTCTGTTCTCATCCTGAGGTAAAGTTCTTAACCTGAGGTACTACTTCCGGGTTAGGGGAGTCTGTAACCTGAAGTGTTTGTAACCTGAGGTACCACTGTATTTGCCATTTGTAAGCCGCTTTACGACTCATCTGAATGAGAAGTGCCATATATATATATATATATATATATATATATATAACCAAATCGAATCTCCCATCAGCCCCAGCGTGCATGGCCAACTGCTAGGGAAGATGGGAGTTGTAGTTCAGCCATACCTGGAGGACCACAGGTTCCCCACGCCTGCAGGCATAGCCGAAGTGCAGCCCTCCAGAGGTTACTGGAATACAGCTGCCATCATCCCTGGCCCTTGGGCCTTCCTGGCTGAGGCCGATGGGAGACAGAGTCCAACTGCAGCAGAACATAGGCTACCCTTGGACTAAAGAATCACAGCTATCAACTTGATTTCCACTCCCCTTTTTAAAAAAAACAAAGCATACAAAAGGCTTTTAAAGTGCACGACTGTGGCTCCCCCATAATAGTAAGAGATCCTGCAGCTGTAAACATACCGTATTTTCCGCTCTATAAGATGCACCAGACCACAAGACTCACCTAGTTTTTTGGAGGAGGAAAACAAGAAAAACAATATTCTGAATCTCAGAAGCCAGAACAGCAAGAGGGATCGCTGCGCAGTGAAAGCAGTGATCCCTCTTGCTGTTCTGGCTTCTGGGATAACTGCGCAGCCTGCATTCGCTCCATAAGACGCACACACATTCCCCCTTACTTTTTAGGAGGGGGAAAGTGAGTCTTATAGAGCAAAAAATACAAGCTCAGTGCGCAGACACAATGCTGCATTTCCTGGTGCCTCAGCGCCCTCTCAAGCATTTCATGTGTTTTGAAAGGCAGATAAAATATCTGTGCATGAAAAGTGTTTTGTTTTCATAGTGTAGGCTGCTTCATTAAGGTGGGCTGGGCCAGCCCAATACATTTTTGCACCTGAGGTGGAACCACAAAATGGCGTCCCACTCCCAACCACAGGAGGTCTACGTTAGGAACAGAGAAGGAAGGAAAACTGTCATTGGGATCTGCTGCCCCTGGGGATGCTGCCGCCTGAGGCAGTCCCCTCACCTTGCCTCATGGGTGTGCCAGCCCTAGATGAGGCCCTGTTTCAACTGCCTCAGTCTGCCCCCAGCTATCTCCCACCTGACTCTTTTTACTTACATATAGTCCAGGAAGATCATTTGCTGACCCTGGGAGCTGCGTTCTAGTCTCTTTGTTGTATTTATTTCTTTGCTCAAAGAAAGGCATGAGAAAGGGTGGCTCTCAGGCTGAATTTCCATACCTTCCAAGAAATAGGCCCTGGGCTCATGAAGAGTGTTTGGCACCTATGTGGCAAACGGCCCGGAATGTGTCCCCCGTTGCAAGATGACTGCAAATATCCAAGAGTCAAGCAATCAACTGACCTTCCTTCAAAGATATACCACTTTTTCCTAATTACGCATGTGTGTGTTTTAACACCATCATAATAGCATATAACATTTACACTGCTGCTTTAATATGCTTTTCACTACTGTAAAAAGTCAGATGCGTAAAACGTTCTCGTCGAAGCCTATTTTAGGCATGGGTTAACTTCAAAATCTGTAGCAGAAACAAAAGACTGGTCAAAATCAAGGACGTCTAAGGGATATGATTTGTTATAAATTTATTTCATCTTCAGTATTTCAGCTTGCACCTTTTGCTCCAGCACTTTTTTTTTAAAATAGAACGTTTCACCTATGGCAGCATCTGCCATGTATACATTGAGTCCCAGTCAATGTTCTTAAAACAGGCTTAGCTTAATCCCATTAAACCATGTTGTGTTTGGTGTTGCATATGACTAGTTTACTTCTGGTTTCCACCCGCCCTCCCCCCCATGAATTAGCAGTGTCAAGTTTTTACAAAGCTCTTGAGTTTACAATATCCATGTGCAAAGACTCACATGTACAAACTGTGACCTGATAACCCCGAAACAGTAGTCCGTCTGACAAGAGAGGGGAATCTCCCTGCTCTCTCATTTTTATTTATTTATTTATTTATTTGGCCTGGAAACAAGAAACCCCCAATTCTACCAAATATTTAAATGGCAGGAAGAAAAATATACAAGCTCGTATTTATACTGTACTTCTATCAATGGCAACAGGTTGTAAATTCATGTTTGCGACTATCACAAAAGACTTATGAACACCAATTCAGCTTTATACTGTAAATACTGCTGGATCAATGGTTTAGGATTATCAATCATTGTTGTCATATGTTGTCTATAACAGTTCAAAAGCATCCTGGAGAAAAATCCTGAAAAACACATACCTTACGGTATATAATAATGTACCTGCATTAGCTAAATATATACTGTACACAAGTCTTATCAGCATTTTATCTACCAAAGATGTGAGATTCCACTTTTAAATACAAAGCAGATAGCCAGTAATGTATATTTATAATACAGCCCTCTCTTTTTTCCATATATATTTTTTTTGCTTTGTTTTTAACCTTAAACAATTTGGTCACAATGCACCTTTGATATAAAATCATTTAAAATTTTATTATTAATACTCAAGACATTAGGTTTGCCAGAATTGGAATATTCTCTTCCCCCCGCTCCCCAATAGTATTTTTTAGAACCACTTTTGGTAACAAATACAGTAATTAGGAAATGAGCACCCAAGTTCAGAATGCTGAAGTATGTTATCCATAATCCATTCCAGCTCAAAACAAGATGTTGCTGTGATAAGAAACGGAGTTGCAAAAACCACCACAGAATCTTTTTTCTTTTTCTTTTTTGGCTGGAATGTTTAATAAATATTTAGAAAGGTAAGGCAACAACTTCAAACAATCCAACCTGTCTGCTCAACTCCCCACCCCCCACCCCCATATTAGCTCCATGATGACCATACACGATCAATTTTTTTTAGGTGTACTCTTGTTTTATTATTTCCAAATAGCCTAAAGAAAATGTATAGCAATGCAATAATTTATCCTCAGTATTCCTAAGACAAATCTGGCCATTTTATCAACCGTGTACAGCTTAATACTGGTCGGATACTGAAGTTTGCGTTGTTGCCACTGCACACTTTGATAAGGATTGGTGGGGTGAGCTGGGATTCGCAAGCAACTGATTCATTGGCAAATCCCAATGCACACCTCCCAAGTCCGCCTATAACCACATTATAGTTACTCGTAATGTTCACACCGAAGGAGCACCAAAGCAGGTCTGGTACTCAAAAGTTGCGTATACCAGAACAAACTCTTAGCATTTTTAAGGACCTCTATTTTTTCTTTTTTTCTTTTTACGGCCCTGATCTGTATAAACATTCAACTCATGAAGATGTGCAAAAAAAGGAAAAAAACAAAAACAAAAAAACCCAAGTCAAATTACAGCATAGTTATCCGGAGGAGAAAGATGTTACACAAACTCATAAGAAAATGACAATCTTTTTTTTCTCTCTCTCTCTTTTACTATAAATACATTTAACAGTTTAGCAGAAAGACAAGCTAAATTTAAGATTGTTCACATTTGAAGTTGTATCACTCTCTGCTAATGATAAATAAGGAAGAGGTCCTGACAATGGAATTTGGACATAGCAATTTCGACAGATCTTTTGAAGACTGGTTTAAAGAAGGGTTAAAACAATGATTATTTTTGCAAAGTTCTGAGAAGTCCATCTGTTGTCCAAACTTTGGATTGAAGTTCTTTTTTTGTTTGTTTGTTTGTTTTCCTTTACTTAGAGACAGATATATACAGTGCTGTTGTAATAATGAAACAAATGTGAAATCTACTGTAAAGTTGCACAATACAGAAAACTGTTGCTCCATCTTCTACTACATACATGTGTGACTCCACAGGTTATTTAAATGCTGCTTTGCTTCTTTTTGTTAAGTTGGAATTATCCCATCCCGTCTAAGACCCCGCTTTAGTTCCAAATCCTCCAGTTTTTTCCATAGTTCTTCACGTTCCTTCTCCTTTTTCTTCTCACTGTTAAATTAAGGGGAGGGGGGAAGAGAAGCATTAGAGGAAAAAGTCAGGTTTTCACGAGCCCCTTGTTTCTTACATCAGTACAGCTACAGAAAGAAAACAGCACTAGAGGTAGAACGATGTACTGGGGTGTCCCAACGCTTTGCATTTTCTCTGAAACCTCTTAAGGCTGCACACACAAGAACCCCGCAACTGAATAATGCCAGGCGTTCGCAGGAACAACCCCAAGCCGGTGGTGCCTTGCAACATCCAATGCTACCCAGTCTGGCAAGACTTCGGAATCACACCGCTTGCTCTATTTGCTGGTCTTGTCCTGCACTTACTGGCATTTCTTTATCCGAGTTAATGAAAACCTGCCTTCTAGAGCAAAACAAAGGTAGAATAAAAACAATTACATACCAAATGCACTACTGCAGATGTTTTGGAGGGTAAGGAATTGTGTTCCTGTATTTGAAGCCATTACAAACCCAAATTGCCCAATATGTTCCTTCAAATACTATGGAGATGGAAGCCAGTGGAGTTTCATTTGGCAATGTATGTCATCCGTGACGAGTGGATTTATTTTTCTTTCTAGCGAACTCATTGGATCTCTTTTTAATTATCGGACTGCATCAGTTATTTAATTTAAAAGCGTTATTATTCCATTTCTTGTTCTCTCCTTCCCCACACATTCTTATCTTCATCATTATTTACAGAAAACTGTCCTAAGCTTCTTTCCAATGAAACCACTGGAACTGCAGCCAGACAAGTGACCAAAATAACAGGTCCAAACTTTCACAAAACAGAAACTGCTACTTAACCTTTCTATTTCTCAGGATCATAAACTTAATATGTGCATAACTTTCAAGTTGCCAGAGAGCTAATGAATTATACCCAAGTTTATTGTAATAATAATAATAATAATAATAATAATAATAATAATAATAATAATAATAATTTATTTATTTATACCCCACCCATCTGGCTGGGTTTCCCCAGCCACTCAGGGCAGCTTCCAGCAAAAGATGAAAAATACATTAAAATATAACTATTTAACTTTTTAAAAATTCCAGATATTGACTTGGCAGGCAATAGATAATGTCACAGTCGTGTACATTGTTAAAAATGGCAAAATTCTGTATACTAGAACAATCCTGGACTTTCTGTATACTAGAACAATCCTAGAAAATTGTGTATACTAGAACAATCCTACCATTATTCATTATGGAGGAGGCCCAGTGAAAACAATAGTGCTTACTCCCTAGCAAAGTGTATCCTCTACTTGAGCAATGCCTTGTCTTTTTTACTGCTGGAATCCAAACAGTGCATCGAGTTCTGTGCTAGCAGCCAAGGAGGCTTTAGGCTTGTGTTTCTCAAACACCCCACAATGCCACACGGAAAACCATTTTTGAGACCGAGTGAATGTTCAAAGCTGATCATGGTGTGACATGGGAGCCTGCTGTTCAAAGACAAAAAGGTCGAAAACCATGCCGGAGATTCTCGATGAATGAAATAGCTTTCCGAATCCTTGCCTCCAAGATGTCATGATTTTAAAAATGTGTTTCCTGCACGTAGATGGAAGCCTCAGCTTTGACCTTTTGAGGTGACCAAACGCCAGAAACAGCCATTGCCAGAAACACAATCAATACTTCACTAATAATTGTTAGGAGTCTAACCAGTTTCTTGATGAAACTTGGGTAACGTTTGCAAAAAGGTCCAAGCTACATCCACACAGCAGCATCCCCAATACCCTGCTGGCCCTGGGCCACTGTGTAAGATGCCTAGCCTAGCTTAAACAAAACATTAACAAATCAAGCATAACTGACTTGCTGTGCGTACAGGCATAAAGTCTATGAAAGCTAAGGGGTACTCGGTACCCCTCTATTTACATTTCTTTGAGTTTTCTTTTTAATGTTAAGCAGAGCGCTGTCAGCCTGGTGATGGAACTGAACAACATTAGGGCCTCCAAGAACGTGTGAGAGGCTATACTGACCTAACAAGGCTTGATGACATACAGTACCCTTCGCTTTGCTTGTGGGAACCCCGAGTCTCACAAAAGGCACGACTTTCACCAAGTCGCAAACTGCCCGGAGTTCCCGAAGTTTCCTCATTAGTTTCACCTGCTGCTTTGGATAAGCTGAAATTTCAGACAAAAGATGATGCACTATAATTGGAGAAGGGTGATTAAGGGAAAGGCAGAGAAACATTTTAAACTAAGGTGCAACTAATGATCGTATGGATGGCACTTCTTCTAGATCCAGCAATGTCAAAGCCTTAAATGTATCAAGATATTATGGAGAAGGAAAGCAAGGAAGGCTGGGGGGGGGGGTCACTTTGCTTAGAGATCCCAATAAAGGTCAGACGCAAGTTATGAGAGTTAATTGCCGAAAGCTTTCTTGACTCGCAAAGAGTTCCTGTATGCATTCTGGACACCATCTTCAAAGCAAAGTGAAGGCAAATTGATGAGTTTGGGGGGGGGGGGGTTTAAATAAAAAAAGAAATTATTTTTATTTTTTACTATTGAAATTCTTGATACAATTAAGTCTTTAAGAACATAGAGCCAAAAGAAGTTCTGTGAGGAATGCAAGTTCACAAGCTACGCAATGGGTACTGTATCTCATAATGGGAAGGAAAAAAACAACCATCTATACGTCTTGCAGGGGCCAGGCTAATGAGCATGCGGGGAGGGGGGGGAATGAGGCATTGCAATCAATCATGTGTGGGAATTATGCAATTACTGCAAAGTGTTTAAATAAAAAAAGAACCAAAACTAAAAACAGCAGGCTTTATGCACAGCTGGCAAAATAAAATAAAAAAGGCTGTAGAAAGTTACCGCTGGCGATCTGACTTGTAAGTGGCCGTCAGCTCGTCAAACATGGCGCTGTTCATTTCCATAAATGCCTTCAGCACGTTGTATACTAAAGCCACAATAGCCCTGTGAATCGTGAAAGAAAGAGTCCATTAATTTGCCATTCAAACGGGACAGATCTTTTCGTGCCAACAACACCGTTCTGATTTGATGTATTTGTGTCACAGGACACACAGCTCTGGCATCATCTAAGGTGTGTCCCCTTCCAGTCTTCCCCAAATCTATACTGGGTCAACGGAAACAGAATCCTGCATCAATAAATGTTGTGCTGGGAAGTGTCAGTAACCACAGCTGAATATAGTGTGTGGAGCCTTTTCAAATTCTGCAGTGTTTCAATGTAAGCCAAACTCAAGATGCTATTACTTTGTGGGGGAAGACCAGAGGGGGCAACTGAAGTTTAGAACTCAAGTTTCGCAGAAACATATGAAAGCAGGGAGAGAATGCAGGAAGATTTAACACAAAACTTAGCATGGCACCCGGCAGGTGATCCCAACTTTTTCATTCCTTTCATCTGTGCAGCCTAGTGCTAAATTCTCCAAGGACTGGGAACCTCAAGATACTCTCTAGTCAACTCTAGTCCTTCTATGCTAATAAGCTGGGACAATGGCAAAAGAAACTATAAGAAAAAGGACTGGGGGAAAGGAAGACTAGAATTAGAAAAAGGAAATCGAATGAGAGAAGCACTGAGGAGGAGCAGAGAACCTCATATTAAATAAAAAAGGACGTTCATGTTTATATTTTTCCTTTATTACCCCGTGGAAGCTCAGTGCAATATATGCTTGTAGAAGTAAGTACTACTGAATTTACTACATGTCCTGTTAAGGAGACCCAGAAGAAGAAAGTGTAAGAAAACCAGGGACTCATCTCCCATAAGCCCTCTTGAGTAAGCTTTTGATGACCTGTCTGTGCACCTCAAGGCTGTCTCCTACTGCAGACCCCAAAGAATACAACAGGGCTTATCAGTGAAGTGCTCTGAAGACTAGGGCAAAAGTAAATCGTATTAAGGTTTTATCTGGAGGATATTGCTGTAAAGTGGCAATGTTGTAGCTGCAGAGCGGCAAAAGGCACCTTTTAAAAATACGGGATGCACATCTCTGCGGCGCAATAGGTCAGTGCATCTGGCTGTTGACCAGAAGGTTGGCAGTTCAGGCCCCCCCCCAGGGACAGCTGTGGACAGGAGTCCTGCACTGCAGGTGGTTGGACTAGGGGGAGATGACCCTCAGCGGTTCCTTCCAACTCTAATTCTATGATAGATCCTTTGTTTCAAAGTTCCTGATACACAAGGTACTAGTGACATCAACATCACTCAACTGTGACACAACCCACCACACAACCGGTCTGAGGAAGCACAGTAAACCAACCTCCCTGCTCCCAGTGAACTGCAAATTCTTCTCATTCTTTTGGCTAGATCTTTAATAATACAGTTCCGTCTTGGGGGTGCGGGATACCAGAATCAGAGCATCTGCCAATATGCTAGCTCAGGATATGGAATGAACTTTGCGCTTTCCCAACTCAGTATTTAATATGGATATATCATGCCGGGTACTACTAACTGGTGCTGCTTGTTTCAGCAGGTTTCTGTGCTGTTTTGAAAAAATGAATTTTTTTGTTTTGTTTTTATTTCGTTTCAAAATTATATTATGGCTTAACTGTGAACAGCTTTGTGAAACTTGGTTTGAACAATAATCTGTACGATATTTTTTTTTAAAAAAACTTTCTGTTTCTGAGAAACGGACCCTTCAAACTGGTGAAACCTTTTCCAGGTTCTGCCAGTCTCTAGATGAAATGTTTCTGTTCCAAGATCTGTAACAGTCCAACTTGGAAGTCATCATACTTTTGCTCACAATATGGCTGTGCACCAAATATCTACGAAGAGGTTCCAATATCACTTTTTAAGTAAATAGGCCAGATCATAATGAGAGTTGCTTTGGAAAGCCAACCAAGTCTCCTCTAATTTCCAAAAGTTTTAACCTTATCTATTTTCCTAAGTGACCATGTACACAACGAGGCAGGGTCACATTTCAACTAAGTACAGGGATTTATTATCTCTGCAATTCCAGAGTTTTCTCCTCTTCTTAACTTCTCCCACCAAGGATCTCAGAGGAGCGCCTGCAAGTTTATTCTATCATACTGTAAGTACCATACTGTCAGCTAGCACTATATACGAGAAACACTGCAACTTTCTCAAATGTATGGTGTCCCAGAAACAAGTTTCGTGCATACACTTCAGGTAAATATCCTAAGTGCTTGCAAAAGCCCTGCTCTCATTGTGCAACTCTAGAGTTAAGTGCATTTGGTGTCAAATCTATGCTGTAAAACCCTGCAAGTGGTGAAATGTCAAGACAGGTCAGATAACCAGTATTTCATTGTTTAGGAAACAACTCTGTGAAAGGTACAAATCTAAGATTTTCAATGTGTTGCAAATATACAACAATGGGTTTTTTAAAAAATAAAACAAAGAAAAACACTTACGGGTTCCAGTGTTCTTTGGAAATCCTGTACAGACTGGAAAACATTATGGGAAGTATTACATTGGAATTCTCCTCTATCAAACTCATGATGTATTCATTATTCCAATAGTACAGTGCTCTTTCAGCCACCTTGGAAAAAGGGGGAAATGGTATTCTTTTATTTCCTAGATCAGGTAACAATTCCAGTAAGTACAACCATATTATGCCAGTGCTTTGCCATCTGTACTGTTTTCCAGATTGTTTATGGGCCCAACTTAAAAGTGCTGGAATTAACCTTTAAAGTCCTAAACATATTGGGGCCAGCAAGTAAATGCACATGTGGTATTCCATTAGGGGAAATCTATTGAGAGGAAACAATATTGCATGGCAAAGTGGTAGGACAGGGCCTTCTGGCAGTTCCCTCACTGCGAGAAGCCAAGTTACAGGGAACCAGGCACAGGGCCTTCTCAGTAGTGGCACCTGCCCTGTGGAACGCTCTCCCACCATATGTCAAAGAGAATAACAACTACCAGACTTTTAGAAGACATCTGAAGGCAGCCCTGTTTAGGGAAGCTTTTAATGTTTGATGGATTACTGTATTTTAATATTTTTTTGGAAGCCCAGCCAGATGGGCGGGGGTATAAATAATAAATTATAATTATTTATACCCTGCCCTCCCCAGCCAAAACCAGGCTCAGAGCAGCTAACATCAAATATATAACATATTAACATAAAATCAAGCAATCAATTAAAATACATCCTAAAATCTAATCAGAATCAAAGTGAAATCCAATCAGATGACAACCCACATATTAGGGCTGGGGACCTTAAATGCTCACCGGCCTAACTGTTTGTACTGATCTCATATGAGCCTGTGAGAAAAGTTGCGGAGCCACTTTCATATAAGTCAGACTGGACCCCGACCAAAGGCCTGGAGGAACAGCTCCGTCTTGCAGGCCCTGTGGAAAGATGTCAGATTCTGCAGGGCCCTGGTCTCTTGTGGCAGAGCATTCTACCAGGGTACCAGGTCGGGGCCACGGCCGAAAAGGCCTTGGCTCTGGTCGAGGACAGTCTAAGCTCGTTGAGGCCCGGGACCTCCAAGATGCTATTATTTGCAGACTGGAAGGTCCTCCATGAGGCGTACCAGGAGAGGCGGTCCCGTAGGTACGAGGGTCCTAGGCCATATACGCTTTAAAGGTTGAAACCAGCACCTTAAACCTGATCCTGTACTCTACCGTGAAAAGGCTAAGCATCCTCTAAAACTTGCTATACTGCTCAGAATCCCCCTCTTCTGAAGTGACTTCCCATATTAAAAAATGGCGTCACAGTTTATGTACATGCAACATACAATTTGCTTCTGAATTTCTGGCTGCCAATACTGACCTGAAAGTGAGGGCTAGACACACACTTAGCTATTTGTTTAAACAAGGGTTCTTGAATTTTGACAAACTGTGAGGGTTCAATCACATCCAATATCTCCTCCAGCTCTCCAAGGAACATGACCTAAAGTGAGAAAGGAAGTATTAAATTCAGAGGTCTTCTGTTTGCATTCGGAAATAAATTTTGAAGGAAGCATTAACTCAGCTTCTAGTTATGCCAGTAGAGATAATGCACAAGAGCAATATACCCTTCATTTGCAGAAACTGGCTGCAATCATGCATATACTTCTTAGGAAGTAAATGCAAAACCCAGCACCATTTATTGGCATAGTAACAAGCACACTTCAATCAAGTCAGTAAGACTCTGCACCAAAATAAACTTGCAAATGTCACAATTAAAGAGCACATGCAAACATTTCCAACCGCTCTTAAAAATTGACACGATTAACAGCTAAGTAGGGTGGACAGCTTACTTTTTACAGATGGCACTAAGGAGGGTAGCCATTATTTTACTCCTACAAGAATATGCAGAATAAAATGGTTGCTAATTGGGCTGCTGTCAACCTTTGTGCAAAGCAATAAACCTATGGCTTCTGAGTAGTCAATGACGAATGTCAAAAAAGATCTGCATCTAAAATCATTTAATAGAATCGTTTAGCTTTCCTCAAATACACCTACATTTTCCATTGTACTACAAAATACTACTGGGTTACTTGTAAGGTTTCTATCCTACCAGTTCTCTAAAGAGCTCAAAACAGCACACATGGCTGGGTCCTCACCATTTTATCCTCAAAGTTGCCCTGTGTGATAGATCGGCCTGAGAGACAATGGTTGACCAAAGGCCACCCAGTTAGCTTCATGGCCGAGTGGAGATTTGAACCTGAGCCCCCCTAGTTGAACACTCTAAGCACTCTAATGATCCCAAGCACGGAATATGCCTTTTCCCCCAGCTGCTGCATACCCTGGGCTGCCAACTTCATATAGCTATTTCCAAGATCTCTTTCCTCATCAGCCACCAGCAGTTCAGACCCCATGAGCCTATATATATGAGATTAAGATACTTTTGTCTGAAATGTGTGTCCCTTTACACTTGCTTACATTAAATGGCATTTGCAATATAATAAGAGATGGCCCAATGTTTCCTTTTTCTACAGATTCTGTTTTCAGCAGGAAGACGATCGACGCCCCATTACTTACTTCTTTTTGACTGCAAGTTTTCGGCCAGAATTTCATTAAACCTCTAATGACCTGCATTGAGGAAGAGACAATGAACAGTCCATTTAGATACAGAAATACACAGGTATCTGAAGCCAACTCTCAAGATAGAAAGAGACATGTATAGATCATACTTACAGGCTCTGTGAGTGAAGGGTCTTTCTCCAGAAACTGCACTATGCAATACGCCAACTGCAAAATATGTAAGAAAACATTGCATTAAAGTATTTTCTTGAAAATGCAAAAAAGAATAAAAATATCATTAAGGTGGCTAATCCAGATATACATCCTGAATCCTAACTGCCACAAACAGACTTCCTTCATGGCACTGGGTTTCCCCTGATCTGCTGCATCCTCCTGCAACTAAAAGAGCAACTAGTGATGATGCCCACTGGAAAATATTAGGAAGTAATGCAGGGGGCTGTAGCAGGAAGAGACAAATCAGTGGTCTAATAATAATAATAATAATAATAATAATAATGCAACAACTCTCAAATTACACAGGAGCAGCTTTGTATCCAAGTCTTACTCTGTTAGCAGTTTCCATTTCAAATGAAGATTGAAAGATGTGGAGTTCCATCAAACTGCAAAGCTGACCAACACACCAAGCTCCTCAGTATACTAAAGCAACTAGATAAATGTGAGTCTGAAACCATCTGAATTTTGGCACTGAATGCCTCATTGTGCTGTGGATGGTTTTCTTCTACGTTTCTGGCTGCACTAGGGCACGTTAGATGAGTTAGCACAGCTGAAGACCGGCGAACAGAAAGATTAAGCTAGCAAGGCTCCCTCTGCAGGGATATCAGAGGCAAAGGTTTGGAGAGCAGGAAATGAGAAGATTTGTAGTCAAACTTAGGAAAGCAAGAACACTAAAGAATATAGGTGCTGGTTCAGAATCTGTGCCAGGAATTCAAAGCAGTGGTGTGCAGAATGGCAGCCTGCAGGCTAAATCGGACACCACTGTTGCTTCACCATCACCTTGCAGCAGAGGAAGGCAACCTTTTCATTCCGGCCAACCCCCTCAACAACTGGCTTCTGGAAGGAGCAAACACTTTCAGAAACACACAGCAACACTCCCCAATTATTATTCCCTGCAGTCTCCTCTCCCATCAAGAACAGTGGAAGATGCTACCCTTAGGTGCTTTGTGTCAGCTGACTACAGATTCACTGGAGTGGCAAAAGTAAGAAGGTGGGAGGAAAGAGGAGAAGGTGTCTGACTCGGGCTGTAGTGCTCCTCCCCAAGTTAGCTGGCAGGCATATCTAGCTGCCAAACCCCAATTACAGAGTGGAATAAAGCACCCAAACCAAAAAAAGTAAAAAATAAATAAATAGGGAAGCTATACAGGCAGTCCCAGATCTGGATGGGTCTTGCATTCCAGGGTGTTGCACACTTGCGTGAAATTGTGTGCCATTAAAACACCCTGCCCCATCCATCCCTTTTAGGATGTTTTCTGGTCCCTTCCGGATTTGCCGCTGTGTGCACACGCACAATCATGCACATTTCGGTCACGCCTAAAACAGGGGTTGTTTGTATTCATCAACACTGAAGACAGACACTTGTGCAAACTGATGTAAGTTTAGCTTTCAAACCTTGTGTGCGCCCTCATCCTAAGGCAACACTAAACAATTAAGATACAATTAGCAGTAGCTCTGTTTCAGCAAAACAGCCAGTAGCCTTGTACCTCCTTAGCTTACCTAGCACTGCATTGTGGACTCAGGGCTGAACTAGAGAAAACATCCTGCTCACCTAGCCAAATAACCTTGTAAGAACAGACTGACAGAAGTGGATGGGTTGCTGGAGATTCTTGCCCAATTGCAGGCAGTCTCTGGTGAACACAAGGGGCAAGCAAAAATATGTCTGCTGGACTCTACATGTTTCCGTTTTCTTAAAGGGTTTGGTTAAATCTATTTCCAACTCAGCACATACAGAAGTGCCGGCCACACTGGTTCTAACAAAAGCAAGAAACAAAAAACAAACAAACATTTGTATGGAAGTTTTTACCTGTGCATGGAAGAGCGATAAACTTCTAACGGTATGTAGAGGAATCAGTACTTTCACCAAAAACTGTTTATGCTCGGCTTTAAGAGGTAAAGCAAAGCCATTGATAATACTAGAAGGGAGAAAAGAAGCATTATTAGTATCAAGGTAATCCTTAACACAGAATGAACTGGATTGTATCTAATCACAGCTAGAACAAGCGTTTGAAACTGGCACACATGAAACATGGTCTAAATTTGCATGAGAACAAAAGTAATCTTGCAAATTTTATTTATAAGCAGAAAAGCATTCTTTTACCAATAAGTGCAAACACTGCATATTATAAAATTGTCCATACAGATTTCCTTTCATTATCTGACCCCTGAGAATTCTGTTATCATGAGCAAGTTTGGGCCTCTTGTCCTCTCTCACTGTGGGTAGAAGTGACTGAATAAACTACTTTCACTTCAGGATGGAATCTGCCAGATCCTGCAAGTGAAAAGGCCAAGGATTTCTCTTTCAGGATCAAAGCGAGCAGACAAGGGAGCATATGGGCCCTAAGTCCACAAAGAGAAAGTACATGAGCTCAAGGTCTGCTCCTGACCTCAATGCAAATAAAATCCTGGGAACCAAATCAACAAGCCCAAGGTGTGGGCCATTAGAAACTCTAAAATGGAGCACAGAAAAGCTTAACAGCCTGACCTTGCCTCTAAACTGAAGTTAAGCATATGCCAAGCAACTAAGGATACAGGGCCCCATAGCATTTGAATGCCGCTTTAAATGTCAGTGAGAGCTACCTTGCCAAAATCGGATGCCCAATAAAGCATAGATTGCCTGACAATCCCCACCAGCAACCCAATCCTTTAGATGAAGTTTAGAACCAATATTATAAGGAACAGCTTAAACTAACTCAGATAAGGCAGAATCCCAGCCCTGGCAAGTAACTCTGTCCAACTTCAGGAAGACACATATTTAGCTTCCTTGTGCTCTCAGAAACGCAGCAGTCAAGAGTCATGACTGTTAGAATTCCTGATCTATGATTGCAGTCATGGGATTTTTGTCTTTCACATGACGGTATATGTTTTGACTCCACAGAGTGGGATGTGACGAAGACAGGATGTTTGTGTTACTGTGTTCCATGAAGTGGGACTATTGTCCTTTGTTCTTTCTCTCTTTGCTGTCTGATGCTAGAGAGAGAGGGAGCCATGTTGCAGTGCTCCGTGTGTGTTTATATGTAAATAAAGTAGATTAGCCAAAATGCTGAATTGCTGAGGTGTGTTACGCCAACTGTGCAAACTCTGTGGATCTCTAAGTGTGCCAGTGTCAGTTGGCATCGGTCGCTGTGATGTTCGGGCTGAAGAAAGCTTATGAAGCTCCCGAACGATCAACTAGGAGGGAGAGAACATGCCAGTCGGGCATGTGTCTCTGCCAGGGTCCTACTCATGTGTAAGCTGAACTCCTGACAATGACATCTTTCCTGAATTTCAAAGAGGGCCTTCTACAGCTTCACTCCCCCCTGCACAACTGCAGTTCCATTTGAACTATTGTGTGCAGCACAAGTGAGTGGAGGAAAAAAGAACAGGACAGGGCTGAGAGTTGGTTTGGCACCACTGCATCTTATGAGACCCCATGGCAAGGCAGCAACTCACATTTGGGCCATTAGGGCATGTCATTTTAGGAGTTGAATTTTTTTGCAAATCTCTTCAGTGAGGGGTCTTAAAAATATGTTTTTGAGTGTGAGGAATTCAAATCTGCTGTTATTTTTGTGATTGGACAACAGTTAGCTTGGTACGTCTGTTGATGGAGAAGCACATAAACTGCTTTCGGAAAACAAAACAAAAATTAATTTTGCCTTATGAAAATGTCAGATAATGCTAAATCGTAGTAGTGATTCTAGTAGTACTAGTAGTAGTAGTAGTAGTAGTAGTAGTAATAATAATAATAATAATAATAATAATAAATTGCCACAAGTATTTGGCAATGATTTTTAATGAATTCTATGCAATTTGACACACATTTAATTTACCAGGCAAACCTAAATTATATCAATTTAATTAAAATACCTTTTGAATTCTTAAGTCATGTTACAACTTTTTAACACCCCCTCATTTTGGGAAATTGAAAGTTGGGCCATGTGTTTACTATCACAAGCACCTTTATCTGGAAGCCAGTTCAACTGCTAGTGAGGTTTCTTCCACAGAAACATTCTGGGCCGTCAGTAAATTTAAGATAACCTTTTTCGCACATCAAGTTTGTCATCACGTAGAAGGAATGTTGTAGGTGAGGTCAGCCCTTAAAATGAGACTTTATTTACCTTCCTAATATTTCCAGCAGTTCAGCTACACCATTGAAGTGTTCAGTTTCATAAACAAACCTGCCCAAACAAATTACATACATTAAATAATTAAGCAAATTGCACAGACACAAATTACACAGATTAAGTATTTATTTACTTGGAAATTTCTAGCCTGCCCTTCTAGTGTGCATGGACCAACCAGGGTGGTTTACAGTTTAAAAACACAACACATTAAAAAATATATTGTGGGCATACAAACCTACAGGAATGAGAATAGAAAATTACATAAACAGCTTTCTTTAAAAAAAAAAACACCCCACACTTACCGTAGAAAAATATTGTTAATCTGTTTCCTGATAAATGCTCTAAGACCAAGGAACTTTCCATAAATTCTGTGTAAGACTGTTTTTAGGTAGTCCCGCTCACGAGGATCTTCGCTGTCAAACAGTTCCAGAAGCTATTTTGGGGGGGAAATCAAAATGAAACCAACAGCTCAGAAATGGAGCCTGACTCTAACATCTGCATTTCTGAATTGGCTTTATCTGACCATACTTCTTCATTCCACAGCCAAATTGTCCATCGTGAATTTTGACCTTCTGTCTGACTAATGGATCCCTACCAATAACCTTCACAGAAGGCTCTTTGATCCAGTGGAAGCTTCCATGAACGGGGTGGTGGGATGTTTTTGCAAATGTCCCCTTTGCTCCATACAGATCCCAGCACTGTTCCAGAGCAGTGTTAGAAATTCGGAAATATAAGCTAGGGGCCAAATGGCTACTTAAACCAAGCTTGCAGTCGCCAAACCAGAATGTCTAGTTGCCATTTTTGGGCACGACGGCTCGAAAGTCTTATTTTTCAAATGATGGGCTGATGTGATTGATTCTCTGGCTAGTTCAGATGACACCCTTGAGCTAGGTTAAGAGCTTTGAGAACTTAAAGACGAAAAGTCACTTTATCCAGTGTCTGTCCACATATATACGGGCCTATTTCTACCTCTTTTTCTTGACGGTAACACATTCATAACATAAGAATATTCTTCACAACTGTGAGCACGGCAGTGGAGTGGGGTAAGGGAAGACAAGCAACAGCAACTAACTAGAACATTGTTCACTGCTCCTGCTCAGGCTGCACAGGAGAAAAAACCACTTTGGTTCCTGAAATTCATTCTGACTGCACAGAGAAAATATAACTGATAGAATTCTACAGGAAGGGGCATTAGTGTGTGAAAACAGTCCAGATCCAAAGATCCTCGGGTATGCACCTCCAGATGATGGAGATATCAGGTGTCATCCTGAAGCTCAGGCATCTGTGCTTAGTCGCAAATGGCCGATAGCCAGGTGCAAAATGCGCCTGGCGCCTGGCTATTTTCGAACCCAAAGGGAATCCGAACTCTCTGAAGCAGATCTGGTGTGGATGCAAAGGGCTGCAGAGAGAAGGGAGAATGTATGGCAATCACCTCGCTCTTCCTCCTCTTCACAGAAGCCTTTGCTGGATCAAAGAGTCTGCCCATGAAGAGAAGGACCAAATTGCATATAAGCCTTACTTCCCAAGCACTGATGGACCAGTATATTGCTTAATCCGTGGCAAGATCTAACAGGGAGGGGCTGGTTCAAGCCTTTTGCACCACAGAATTCTATTCGTAAGGTGGAGGCAGATTGAGAATTGTTTCAGGAGATAGCTGTGTGGTATTCTCTCTCATGTGAAGTTAGCCCGTGTGGTGTAGTGGTTCAGAGCGGTGGACTCATAATCTGGTGAACTGGGTTCGATTCCCCATTCCTCCACATGCACCTGCTGGGTGACCTTGGGCTAGTCACACTTCTCTGAAGTCTCTCAGCCTCACTCACCTCACAGAGTGTTTGTTGTGGGGGAGGAAGGGAAAGGAGGTTGAGACTCCTTAGGGTAGTGATAAAGCAGGATATCAAATCCAAACTTTTCTCTTCTTCTTAGTGCCAAACATTTAATGTCATCTTCTACCAAATTTAAGTTACAGTATTTCATAATTGCCTTCACACATTCCAGTGACAGCTTCTGAATGCAGTTTGTTTTTTTAAGTATCTCAGACTTACAGAAACTCCAGTAATCAACCTACAGGTTGTTTTTTTAAAATAAAAGTTAGCATTACAAATACTCTCATGAGCTTCGAAGAGAGCAGACCTCCTTACCTGTAGTACAAATTTCTGATCTATGTATTTTTTGGCAATGCTGGGCTGGAATTCTTGGCTTTCCAAAAATCGTATGAAAAATTCATATACAAGCTGCAATAAATCACAACACAATTTAGTAATGTGTTAATGCGTGCTGCATTTCTACAGAATGAAACAGTAAATTATTATTCTGCTTCCGTATTTAAAGAGAGGCAAGAGAGGGACAATGGTAGGTAAAGACATCGTCTATGTGCCTACCCCTGGTTCAAGTGAGTGTTTTCCAACCTGGTGCCCTCCCTCCCACTGCACAGAGGAGTTCATTGTCCTGCATGTGTGGGGAGATTGTTGCTGAATCAAACAACTTTTTTTTAAAAAAAAGGTTATGTTCATGACCACCTTGATAAAACTGTTTCCCCATCTCCCCCTACCTCCTGCCCCACCCTTCCTTGGTTTATTTATATGGTCTTTCCCCCCTATAGGCCCTTTTCAGAGACACAGACCCACCCACACATATAGTTAAATATTACCACTGCTACTCATACCTACTCAGGATAGGGTGGGATATAAATCCAATTTAACTTAATAAATAATGTGTTATTTTCCTGTGTTCATATAGCCTAGAGTGGCATAAGCCTAGCGCCCATTAATTATTTTTATTTAGCTGCCATCAGAAGTACTGCAGCTCATTCTAAGAGCAGGCATCACAAACTCTTTTGCACTGGCTTGCCAAAGCTCCCAGGGGTATAATCAGCATTCCTCTGCCCTCCAGACTCTTGAAATCATAGAAAATAAAGCAATTATTATGTTGGTGAAACATTTAATGGTAATTAGAAAGCGTTTGGGAGCATTCAACTACAACACAGATGTCTGATGCAGAATAATGTGTTTTAATCTGGATTCTCCAAACTTGTTTTTTTGGGGGGGCTGACTGCAGGTTACACGTAAACATGCCCAACAGCCCTTTCCACTTTGTAGAACTGATAGGGAGGGAATCAGTGGGTGGAAAGGGCACTTAAGTCCTTCTCTGCCCTGTTTCCTCACTCCAAGTCACCATGCCAGGCAACTTTCCCCCCGTGAGGTTTAAAATGTGTGGGCATTTATAACCCTGTGGGGTGAAAAAACACCGTGTGGCACCATTTGGGGCAAGGAAAGTATTATACAGCCTGCTACGTCGCAATTAATTGTTGTCTCCTGAAGAACTGGGGTGGGTGTGCTACTAGGCTACCGTTGCCCAGGTTTGCATGTAAGCAGGAACATATGAAGCTTCCTTTCACTAAGTCTCATCACAGGTTTACCCCAGCAGGCACTGGCTCTCCTAGGTTTCAGAAAGGGGGCATTCCCAGTCCTACATGGATTGAACCCAGGGAACTTTGTAAACAAAGCCTACATCTTTTTAGCGGAAAGCAAGTGACCAGGGCCATTAGTTCTATGAATGGAAGAGTGGAAAGGAAGCGATAACACTGGACAGTGGTATCTCGGGTAAAGTACTTAATTTGTTCCGGAGGTCTGTTCTTAACCTGAAACTGTTCTTAACCTGACGCACCACTTTAGCTAATGGGGCCTCCCGCTGCCGCCATGCCGCTGGAGCACGATTTCTGTTCTCATCCTGAAGCAAAGTTCTTAACCCAAGGTACTATTTCTGGGTTAGCGGAGTCTGTAACCTGAAGCGTATGTAACCTTGAAGCGTGTGTAACCTGAGGTACCACTGTATTTATTAAAATCTGTGTGAAACTGGTTTTAGAAGTTGCAAGACCATCATAAGGTGTGGCTCAGTGTATTCTGCCTAGCTAAATAAAAGCTGCTAGAGGACTGAAAGCTGGAGTCTACAGCTGCTTCTCCTCAATGCGCCTTTGTATTTCCGTATGTGGCTGCAGAGCTAAAAAGGTTAATCCTGCTTGTGGAGACTATCAGAGGTCACAAAGAGAAAGGAAAAATATATGAAAATAACAAGAAGAGATGTGGAAAAACAATAAAAAGGACTGGATAGTACTGTGAACATCATATGGTCAGATTTGTGGACATTAAAGCAGCAGCAAGAAGATGATTGGATCCCCTTCGGAACTTGAAATATGGGTACCCCCAACAAAAATTTAAAATTCGGCTCTGTAATTTGTAATTTATGTAATTTGGTTTGATTTGATGTGATTGGTCGGTTAATAAAAATTATTCTTTCTTTTTTTAAAAAAAAAAGGTCAATCCTGCCCCACAATCACCAGGCTGGGTTACTGGGGAGTTATAAGACATAACCCAGGAAGGTGTATCACATTAATCCTAACTTGACACTGCCACAAACCATCTCCGTCCCCCGCCCCGGTCCATCTAATCACAATAAATTGTATTTTTGTTGATTTTTTAAAAATACTTTGCGTTCTGTCCCATTTCAGGGTCCTTCCAGCAAGTAAGTTGGTGTGCTTGATTTTAATTCTAAAATAAAAAAATTTAAAAGAATAAAATCACCTGTAAATGTGGCCATGACGCCTCAAGGGTGGGTTCATCTTCTTCTGGATCAAACTCATTGCTATCGCTAGGAGGAAGTGTTCGGAATATATTGCAAGAAACCTGGGAAATTGAACAAACACAATTAAAGGCTGCTCTCTCATCAAGATTGCAGGGCAAGGCAATCAGAAGAATTAGAGTGCATTCACAAATTGCTAAAAATTGCCCAATGAATCCACAAATTGATATAATGCATTTCACTAGCAGATTATTCTTAGATAAGAACAATGTATATGGCACTTTATGGTTTCCAAATTGCACTAATCATTTCTTACCTCCGTTTTATCCTTGTAATGAAAGCAGGGAGCACCTACTACCAGCTCTAGAGAGAAGAAAAAACTATGTGACTCCTCTAAGCTGACTAGCATCTCCCTCTGAGAATACTTTGGACACAAAGCATAGCTCATATTCCAAGAAATGAAAATGTGCCCTGCTATGGCCTCACCTCACGAGGCCCACATCAAGTGACTACACAGTCTCAACCTGCTCCCTTTCTTTACAGTGCTCAGATTAAGCCTAACAGAGCAATCTATCAGGAAGGAGCAGAAGCATTTTATTCTCACAAGCACCTTGTTAGATGATAGCCAAAAAAACCAGCACCTTGTCCAAGGTCATTAAGGCTCACAATTAAGAAGGGAAATGAACTCAGTCATCCATAGCTCAAGTCTGAAACTTTATACAACAGTGCCTAATTGTCACCTCCTCCTAATGCATTTCAATATTCCAGTTCACTTAGATGAAACAGAATCATTTCAATAATTTGAGCTTTCTCTCACACATTAGACTAGACTTTAAAATTACTGAGAAAGAGTAAGCAGGAAATAAAAGAGGTTTTGTACTTAGTGTTTTCTTTTCTCACCACAAGAGGGTGCATTTTGATATAATCCTAGAAAAAAGGATGCTGACTTTTACTAAAATATTTGTTATGCACCAATAATATACTTCCATCACATGGTGTCTCATAGTGAGAGATCAGTCTATTAGCAACAAATACCAAACAACTGATTTAAACTTGCCTTTGGTGCAGGTTTCCTAAGAGATTATCTGTTTATATTTTGTTCTAAAATTAACACCTAGTAGCAGCAATCATTCAGAGTCTATTTATGCTATTCATCTAATTTGAGCAATAGGGCTGACCTGTACAATCTAATTTAGCCAAAGTAGCAAAGATCCCTCAGTTTAAATCTTGCTTCTTCCACGAACTCATTGAGTGCCTTTTATACAAGATACCATCTCTCAAACTCAACCCCCCTCACTCCCAGTTCCTCCCCAGCACATGCTACAATAGACAGACACTGACTTACCTTACAATGATGTTGTAAGGGTGGAGATAGGTCACATCCACAGCACACGTTTAATGCACTCTTATACCACTTTAACCATCATGGACTTCCCTTTAAAAAATCCTGTGAACTGCAGTTTATTAAGGGTGGTGAGACTTGTTACGAGACCCCCCTCACGGAGCTACAATTCCCAGCACCCTGAATGAACCAAGGTTCTCATAATTCTTAGGGGAAGCCATGACTGTTAAAGTGATATGAGTGCTTTAGATGTATGGTGCGAATGTAATGATAATGTATGTAAAGCACTTCCTCCTCTCCTAACAGTTATACAAATGCCAAGTGTTAGTTCCGCCAAAGATACTTTGGATTTCACACATTTTGCTGTATAATAGTAGAGAAGAATGCTATACATATTGTGGCAGATACATAAATAACTTCAAGAAAATCAATGATTCCATCTGGCCACGCAAATAGAAAATTGATCACTTGTGCTGGGACTGAAGAACAATATACCTGAAAGCGACTGGAGAGCCAAAGTAGCCATGCATTGATAATAAATAAATAATAATAATAATAATTTATTATTATTTTATTTTTACTGAAAGATTTTCATGGATAACAAAGGTGCATATAACGTCTCTGTTTTCAATTCACAGAGTCCTTCCTACAGGTCAAAACGCAAACAGAAGTCACAGAGTGTGGGCTGATCATTACGAAGGCACCCAGCTGGCAGAAATGCGGAGTAAAACTCTTTCATCCCCTGCTTTGGTCCTGATGAAAATTGGTTCTTTGAAGCTGCTATTTGCATTACTAGCACCAACACTTCTGTGGTGTAATTACAGAGCAGCAGCAGCACATTGGGATGTTCAATTACACCTTATTACAACAATGGCTTTTCAATAGTGGATCATCACTGTACGCACAAAAGATACAACCCTGTGCATCCCTTCTTAAGATTGAACCCAATCTCTTCTGAGGAAATACTTGTAGAAGTAGGCTGACAATGAAATAGTTGTATGGAAAAGTAGCTATCTTAAACCTATCTTTACTTATCTGATTTATACTTCATTCCATCTTACCCTTGAAAGAACAGCCGTAATGAAAATTCATAATCTCTTCCATTTCTGTCTTATAAGCAATAATTTCCCCTATTTCCTGGTGTGACAAGTTGTTTAGGAGGCATTAGAGTTAAAAGTATACACACGTTCTTAACAGACACACATCCTGACTCCATGCAAAAGGTTCCGTTCCTCTCATTGTGGGTCTACACACATGGTGAACCAGTGTGAGAAACTCAAAATATATAAGCTGGGAGCCAGATAGCACCTTAAACCTAGGTTACGCTCGCCACAACAGAATATCTATTTGCCAGGGGGTTGAACTAGATGACCCTCGGGGCTCCCTTCCCAACTCTACGATTCTACGATCTCAACTACCCTAGATCCCGGCGTATTATGCAACTGGGCGTATAAGATGACCCCCAACTTTTGCTGTTCAATTTTAGAGTTTTAGAGTAATAGAGTTTGAGCGCCCCCGGGGGCAGAGCGTGCACCCCTCCGCTGCCTCTGCTGTCGCAGCAGAAGCAGCAGCAGCCCGAGGCAAGGCGTTTGGCGGGTGAGCGCCACGCTCGGAAGGACTTTCCGTGTCCCCTTCTGTGGGGAGGGAGGAGGAGTGATGGCAGAAGGGGTGTCTCTGCTCACCGGCTCCCTCTCCTCCTTCCCAACGTGTATACCTGGCGTATAAGACAACCCCCAACTTCTGGGGTGATTTTCCAGGGATAAAAAGTCATCTTGTACGCCAGAACATACAGTACATTATTTGGCTGCAGCTTGCTTTTACTACAATTCACTTGTCTCAGTATGCAAGGAGGAGAAACAGCGGAAATGTTATTAACTGTGGACTAAAAGGCAGATGTTCTTAGACTGCAGTAGCCAGCCGGATGACCAGGAATCTCCATGTAGCCACAACTGGACCTGCGCCAACAGCAAAATGCGCCTGGGGAATGTCAAACACTGGGGTGAACATGTATGTGGGTTCAGACATGCACCTTATAACACCACATTTCTGAAGACTATAATTTTAACTGAAGGGGGCCACTCCCGTGTTATGTGCCGCACAGCAACAAGTGCCTGATTTCTTTTAAAAGTGGTAAAGGTAAAGGGACCCCTGAACATTAGGTCCAGTCGTGACCGAATCTGTGGTTGTGTCACTCATCTCACTTTATTGGCCGAGGGAGCCAGCGTACAGATTCCGGGTCATGTGGCCAGCATGACTAAGCAGCTTCTGGTAAACCGGAGCAGCGCACGGAAACGCCATTTACCTTCCCACTGGAATGGTACCTATTTATCTACTTGCACTTTGATGTGCTTTCGAATTGCTAGGTTGGCAGGAGCAGGGACCGAGCAACGGGAGCTCACCCTGTAGCGGGGATTCGAACCGCCGACCTTCTGATCGGCAACTCCTAGGCTCTGTGGTTTAACCCACAGTATAAAAATCACAGTGCAGTCTTATCTAAGCACCAGCCTGGTAGCCAATGAGAAACTGCAGGCAGGCAAGAGGGATGGATAACATCTAGGCTAGAAACCAAATGGGCTGCTCCCTTTCCCACAGCCCCTTAAGGCTGCTTGGCTAGTCCCCAGCAGGCTACTAACTTTTGCAAGCTTATTTGCAAGGCTGTTTTTAGTATTACTTGTGCAGTGGCTTTCTAACAGACCCCCCTTAATCAAAACTGAAGCGAAGAGGTGTTGCATGTACATAGTTGAAGGGGACGAAAGCGCAAGAAGCTGTTTGCAGCTCTAAAACTAGCTTTTCCACATGAATGAACGCCAGGCATTCACTTATATGGTAAAAAGGAGGCGTGGAAATTTATTTATGAACGCCAGCAACATCACCCCTCCTGTAACAGTGCTGCCAACTACAGGTCACTTATTTGTCCTACAGAACTCAATGGTAAACAATAGAACCCGATAAAGAGGCTATTAAGAACTGGTTATTGCCTTTTTTGGAACATTATGATATTTATATATATTTAGGAGTGCCTTCTACCAACTTCACTTGGTCAGGCTGCTGCAGGTGATTCTGGATTGTCTCGGCACTGCCGGCCCATGGACTGGTAACATCCAGACTGCATTGTTGCAACATGTTATAGGTAGAGAGGCCCTTGAAGCTGACCCAGAAGCTGCAGCCAGCACAAAACCCAGTGGCTGGGTTGCTCACTGGAGCAGAATATCACCATCACATTGTGCCACTGATAAAGGAACTGCACTGGCTGCCAATTGGCTAGGTTCAAGATACTGATATTGGTAAATTAAGCTCTATTCAGCTGGGTACCACAATACCTAAAAGATCGTCTGATCCTCTACATATCTAATTGATCACTGTGTTCTGTAGTAGAGGTCTGGCAGATATCAGTCTATCTGTAGGTCCATTCCAGAATCAGCCCATTAGTCTGGCAGAACCAAAGCTCTGGAACACCTTCCCATTGCTATCAGACAACTAACTGCCTCTTCTCTTGGCTTTTAGACCCCATATTTATTTTTTTATAGCTGCTTTAAAAAATGTTTTTATATGCACTTGCTTTTAACTGTTCTGTATCTTTCACTGTGTTGTAAAATTGTTTCAAGATGCCTCAAGTGATTCATAAATTAATTAAATAAATAAATAAATAAATATTTCTTATGTATACCTTTTTGCAAGTATATGGGACACCCATACTCAAATTACACACACACACAAACACAGAGGAAATTTTCACACTACTTCATTTTCAGCCTTCATGTTTGGCAAAGCTCATATAAACAAGGAATAAAAACATGTCAAAAGAATTGTTATAGCAGAATACAGCGATGTGTTCTAAGTTATTATTTTTAAAATACTATAAATCCTCCAGTGAGAACGCATGTCTGAAGTTCAGGAAAGTGAAGGGATGGTATTCGCCATGGGCTTGTATGAAAGGAAGAGCAGGATACAAATTTAATCAAGAAACAAACAAACAATGTTAGTTATACTCATTGAACTACTTGAATCAATGGACTTCAGTGGAACTACTCTGAGTATGACTTAGTTGGATAGCATCCAAGGAGTAAGAAGAGAAGAAAAGCCTGCTGAATCAGGTTAAGGCTCATCTGGCCCAGCATCCTGTTCTCAAACTGGTTAACCAGATGCCCATGGGAAGCATGCAAGAAGGGCATGAGTGTAATAGCACTCTCTCCTCCTGCCATTCCCAGAAACTAGTATTTAGCAGCATTTATCTATCCCCTTTCTCCGTGCCATGCACGATTTTATAAACTTCTATTGTGTCACCTCTTACTCCCATTTTTCCTCGGCTAAAAAGTCCCACGTGCTGCAACGTCTACTCATAGAGGTGCTGCCCTATCGCCTTGATCATTTTGGTTGCCCATAATTAGATCTTTTCTAACCCTGAAATTTCCTGTTGCATGTGAGGCAACCAGAACTTTACACATTATTCCAAATGAGGTCACACCACAGATTTGTATAAGAGAAATGTTGTATCAGCAGTTTTGTTTTCAATTCCTTTCCCAATTATCTTTAGTATGGAATTTGCCCTTTTCACAGCTGCTGCACATGGGGTTGACATCTTCATTCACTATGGCCCCATGGTCTTGTTCCTGGTCAGTCACCTCCAGTTCAGACCCCATAAGCGTCTATGTGAATTTAAGATTATTGATCTCACATGCATCACTTTACACTGTAGACAGTGAATTGTATGTGGCATTTTACCACCCATTCACTTGGTTTGGAGAGGTCCTTTGCAAGCTCTGCACAATCTTTTTTAACAATTTAGTACCATCACAAAACTTGGTCATCTCACTGCTCACTCATAACTCTGCACTGTTTTCAACATGTTAAAAAGGACAAGTTCCAATACCAATCTTTCAGAAACTCCACCTTCTATCTTCTCTGTTCAGAGAAATGTCCAGTTAACCCTACTCTCTGTTTCCTGCTATTTAACGTACTCCTGGTCCATAAGAGGACATCTATTATTTTGTGTGATTTACAGCTGCCATTAATATTTTTTTTAAAAAGTACAGTAAACCAACAACACACTAAAGATGCAATACTAACACAAGCCAGACAGGTTTTAACTACAAGCAGAATACCATACAACTTGTGTAGATATACACTGTAATAACAGTCAACAGTCACTGTAATATAATTTATTCCAGAGTAAGCAACAAACAAAAATACAATGTAAGGATGCCGTTTTAGAGCTATCATCTGCTAATGTCCTTAAACCTTGCAAAATATTTATGCTTTAAATGAAACAGCCAACCTGCTCAGACCTGCTTCAACCTTTATCAATATAAAACAGCTGTTACAGGGGACTGGTTCAGTGTGGGAAACACAATATTTTACTTGTTCTGCTCTACAAGGGCAAGTGATAGCAATATGCAGGCAGCTGTGATGATATGAGTGACAGTTACACTTACAACTATTGATAATCAATACTTGTGTCAGTTTCCAGAACTCTGAAAGGTTTAATTCTAAACTATGTTTTAAGTGGTTCTGTGCAAACAGTAGGGTTGTTGTTTTTCAAAAACAGAACCATAAATGTTCCTATATTCATTGAGATCTAACTCCCCCAGCAACCTGTTTCCAAATATATTCATTCATTCATTCTCTCTCTCTCTCTCTCTCTCTCTCTCTCTCTCTCTCACACACACACACACACACACACACCACTTTCTCTATTCTCCTAAGTGTTCAGCTGCACAGGTTCTTACACTGTCACCAGTCTTCAACATACAATTTTCCCTTAAGGATAAATGGCACCCTTGCAGGAGTGTTCAAGGAGAGCAGGACATTGGCACAGCCTCAGACCTCCTCCCTATTCTTCCAAAGGTGAGTAAGATTGTCAAAAAGCTAAAAACCTGGGGCAAGCTCCTCACCAAGATGTTTCCATATCAAAGGAATATACATTTCCTAGGGCTTACAAACCCCCCCCCCCTTAATGCCACTATTTCCCCAAGTTCATGGAGAAAGCTTGGCGTTTCATCAGGGGGCTTATATAATCAACAGCAAACAAATCAGCAAAAGAGCTTTTCCATCATAGTGGTACATCACATAGGCAAGCTAAGGACAATAAGTCATTGTGTCACTGGATCAGAATGAGACAATGCAATGAATACTGTGGAGCAGAACATCGCATCCTGTGGCACTGTGAGCAGATTCATGATCCCACACTAGGGTAGCACCACTATGCTCTCAACAGGGGTGAGGCTGCATAAAGGCCAGAAGCAGAACCCGCTACGACAGTGCAAAATTAAGTCTGAGCTTCTAATATGATTTAACAGAATGTTGTTTATTCATTCAGTTTCTATGCCACCCTCCACCCAAGGATCACAGAGAGGTTTACAATGTAAAAACACAAAAATACCTAACATAAAGGTAAAGGGACCCCTGACCGTTAGGTCCAGTCACAGATGACTCTGGGGGTTGCGATGCTCATCTCGCTTTATCGGCTGAGGGAGCCGGCATACAGCTGGGTCATGTGGCCCAGCATGACTAAGACACTTCTGGCAAACCAGAGCAGCGCACGGAAATGCCGTTTACCTTCCTGCCGGAGCGATACCTATTTATCTACTTGCACTTTGACATGCTTTTGAAATGCTAGGTTAGCATGAGCAGGGACCGAGCAACGGGAGCTCACCCCGTCACAGGGATTCGAACCGCCAACCTTCCGATCGGCAAGACATAGTAACAAACAAAAACAATATCCCCACACATACATTTTAAAGGGCCACAGGTTGTAATTGTTTTATTTATTAAATTTCTATACTTGCTTTGTCATCAAATGCTTTATAACAAACTAGACCAACTGCTCTTCTACTGGATTTCAGTTCTTTATTATTAAAACATCAAGTACGTGATGCATAATTCAGCAGTAGGTATCTGAATCCAAGTAAGAAAAATTAAACCAAATTTCTAGTCCTTATGGATGCAGATAAAAGCTTGGAAATGTGTGGGCAATGCCTGGTCTCGGGTGGTCCCTCATGGGTAACACCCCAGGCACTAAAGAAAGCCCTCTGTCCTTCCATAAAGCCAAAATATCCTGCTGTCCTGATCTTAAAGGTAAAGGTAAAGGGACCCCTGAAGGGACCCCTGACCATTAGGTCCAGTTGTGACCGACTCTGGGGTTACGGCGCTCATCTTGCTTTATTGGCCGAGGGAGCTGGTGTACAGCTTCCGGGTCATGTGGCCAGCATGACTAAGCCGCTTCTGGCGAACCAGAGCAGCGCACGGAAACGCCGTTTACCTTCCCGCTGGAGCGGTACCTATTTATCTACTTGCACTCTGAAGTGCTTGTCCTAATCTTACTAGCCATTTAAACCCTATCTCCATGCAGCAGTCTTCCACCACCATATGCCTCACTGCAAGAGCGCCAATGCCACTGACTCTGTGAATCTTGCAAGGAGATGGAAATGAGCAGAACAAGGAGCTATACTGCAAATGTGCCACAAATACGTACATATTATATATTAATTCTTACTGCACATTCTGAGGCTCTTTAGAACAGAAGAAGTGAATGCAGACTATACACAGCCCTGCATATCAGACATTATGGAAAGATCAAGATTTTCCCAATGACTAAGCCCCACTTCTTTAAATTATGGGAGACTACCAATTATATTTTTTATAATGCAGAACTGTGACAATGAATCCAATGAGTGTTAAACTGAAAGGATAGTGCCTTTCCAAGGATAAAAATTGCCACTGGTGTCATAATGAAAGACAGGGACTGCTCAGCTAGAAAGGTAAAGCAGCAGAGAGGACAGATGAGATCTGAAGTGGAAACGAAATCAAAACTGCAGCATGTGGTAGCTGACTGGGATTGGCAATGCAGGGTTTTCCACAGCAGCCTGTCTACTTCACTTTTAAGAACAGCGAGATTCACAAGTACCATAGAAATTATACCACCAAACCAGCATCACTTTTTTTACAGCACAACCCCCAAGATAAAGCTGCCAATTAGTTAACTGAATCATACCTTACATTTTGCCTACACATATCTCATTAATAAAACCAGCTCTGTCAGATTTCAGTTAAACCTGTACATCTAAGGATGCATATATATCAAGCACTAAAGCATGAACATTTTATGCTTCCCATAAGCATGGTACAGGGAAATTGGATGTTGCTGGGATGCAATACACATATCTTATTAATGCAACTTCAATCTAAACAGCCCCTTCACCAATGACCAACTTAAACAAATATTCCTCACAACCCTTTCAACTTTATTTCATCATTTATACTGTTCAGTTACAGCAGCTAAGGATAAACCAATGTTTCCCATCTATGTTATCCTAAAGCATTAAAAAAAATACTGTGGTCCAGGACCAAGACATGGGCACTTCTGCTTCAGAAGGGCAAATTCCCTTTCCCAGGACCATGTTTAAGAAGCAACAACTGGGGCAGTCTTTTTGGCAGATACTTCTACCACCAAAGAACCACCAGTTTGAACTCTGCTTCTTTGACCCATTGCTTCTGAGGTTTGTTTGCCAACATCCTCAGATATCTACTATCCCTTTTCAGAAATTCATTCAGCTATTTCCCAGTAACAATGGCATACAAGCCCCAATATGGAAGCACTGCCCCTTAAATGCAAGTTGATCTCCCACCAGGGAGGTGGGAACTGGAACACACACACCTGTGTATTTCAGCCCTCTGGAGGTTTCAGGCCATGACTCAATCAACACTACAGGTTTCCTCGTTTCCAACCTAGATTCTGATGAGCAAATGCTGCATGCTTTTCATTATTACCTATCCGCCAAACTCTGCAATACAAACTCTGACTCCAAGTACTCTGCAGTCATCACTACCTGCCATCCATCCCTGGGCTCTGTGTTGCAATACAGACAAGCTGAACAAAATAACACAACACAATGGCCAATAACAATGGCACTAAACACTATTTGTAGACTAATACAAATGATCAGAAATTGCAACCAAAGTCTCTAAATCTTCTTCACCAGTCGCGGTAGAATAATTCAAAGTTCGATATATACATAATCTGTCACCAAATATCGCTGGAACAGAGTTTCCGGATAATGAATCTATTTCGTTCAATGCTTCATCAGCCAGACTTGTAAGAATTAATATGACAAGGATGCAGTTCAATTTCTTAACAAGCTGAAATTACAATATAAATGCGATGAAACCTGCGTCTGTATAAGATAAAATGCATAATACAATATATACAACTAAGATACATACCCAATCTTACATGTAAGTAAATATAAACGCTGTAGAAAATATGCTCTGGATCAGTGCTCATATGATACGGTAGTCACTGATGCTGGTAACAAATTGTAAAGAATATAATATAGTTAGCCACAGGTGAAACTAATATACGGTAAGGGAAATTAAAGACACAGCACAACATTAACAGCAAGAATGCCTGACAACCAGATGAAAACAGTACCCCATCCAGTCTGTGGATCATGGCAGATAATGCAATTAAATAAAACAATGAAAATCTAACTCATAATTCAATCCCCCCAGATGAACAGAGTTGAACATGTAGATGAAACGGGTTTCCTGTTGGCGTAACCACCGTTCCAAATTTGGATGGGGTACTGTTTTCATCTGGTGTCCTGAGCTAAAAAATTGAGAGAGAACCTGGAGAATAAGCAAGTGTAAAGTGATCCACAAGGGGACAATAAATCCTCATATATTAATAGAGTCTGAACTGACAAGTGACGAAGCAGGGAAAAGACCTTGGGGTCAAAGTAGATAGCTCAATGAAGATGTGGACCCCACTGTGCAGAAGCTGTGAAAAAGGCAAATTACATGTTAGGGATCATTAGGCTTTTTAGTTAAAAAAAAAAAGCAGTAAGGAGGTGTCAGGGAACTGCCATCGGAAGGAAGGGAGGTGAAAGGACTCAGACAGGTTGGAAGAGATTCAGCAGCTGAAGAGGGAACCAGCAAGGGGAGAGAAGCTGAACTGAGGGAGGTGAAAGGGCTCAGACAGGTTGGAAGAGACTCAGCAGCGGAAGAGGAAACCAGCAGGGGAGACAAGCTGAACTGAGGGAAAGGGAGCTGGGGGATGGCTCAGAGATACTTCCAGCGAAAACAGTGGTGAGGTTTCCGGACCTCCTGTAGCGACACCCACTCCTCGCCGGAAACTGTCACGCAGAGAGTCCAGAAGACGTGTTTCCGTTAAGGAGCTTTTATGTTGGAAGCGATTACGAAAGCAACCACTGTCGGAATCTTCTAGTGACTAAGAGGAGCCATGTCAGAGGGGCTCAGTCACAGACAGAGGTTTGTGGACTTGAACAAACTCTGAGGGAATACGATTTACGCACAAGCAGCTCATAATCCCATCACAGCATTCCGACAGTCTTTGAACGCAGCTTGTGCAGGAGACGGCATAATAATGAGCAACCCAGCAGGAACCGGAGAAGCAGGGGCTGGAGCGGGTCCAAGCCTGGAAGAAAGGTACCGGGTGTTAGAGGTCCAGCTGGCGCTGCAGACGGCGAGGCTGGAGGAGAGGAGGGCTCAAGATGCAGACAAAGGGAGAAAGCCACCCAGCTCGCCAGAAAGGTACCAGGATTGGTGCAAAAATTTGGGGGGGAGCCCAAAGACTATCATAGCTTCGGACAGAAATGCAATATGCCCTCAATCTGCAGTTTGATGATTTCCCTGATGAGGAATCACGAGTGGCTTTTGTGATTGGGCATCTTGAAAAGGGGGCGAGAGACTGGGTTAGACCCCTGATGGCAGCGAATAGTGACGTCTTAAAAGACACGATGAAGTTCTTTCGCGCCATGGATCTGATGTTTTCCAGCGATATTGAAAAGGGAGTGGTGCGCAGACAGTTAATGGCTTGCAAACAGGGGAGCCGATCTGTACGTGAGTACTGGACTGAGTTCACCATGCTGATACACAGATTGGGGTGGGACTTATCGGCGGAACCCATTCAAATGCTCTTTGAAGAAGGGCTTTCTTCGGCTGTGAAAGATGAACTTTCCCGGGCGCCCAGGGCGGAGTCTATGGACCAGCTGACCAAATCAGCGCTGGCCATAGGAGCGCGCCAGGAGGCGAGAGCATTGGAGAGGCGGGAAGGGAAAGGGGAACGTTGGAAGGAGTTCCGCATTCCAGACATTCCAGAGCCAACTGTCCCGCCGGCAGAGCCGATGGAAATCGGAACAGCGCGCGCGCGCGCAGTTTCAAAGCCCAGTGAGGGGGAAAGAAGGATGGAAAAGGCGCCCGGAAATGCTATCTCTGCCAACAGCCAGGGCACTTTGCCAGAGTCTGCCCCCAGAGGAAGGAATGGCAAGGGATGGTGGGAGCTGTGGAGGGAAGAGAGGAAAAATACCGGAGCAACTAAAGCCAACGCCTGGCTGCCATTGTCGGGGCACAGCAGCCAGGCCAAAGAGCAGTGAAAGTGCCCACTCCAGAACCTCCTAAACCCGCCCTAGTGATAGAAGTGACACTAGAGCTCCCAAACGGACACCCTCTAAAGATAAAGGCGCTGTTGGACTCAGGCAGCTCCTGCAATTTCATGAGCAAAGAGTTTGCAGCTGAACACCAGATACAGACGCTCCCTTTAAGCAACCCCCAGCAGGTAACCCCGATCGATGGCAGGGAGCTGTTGGGAGGAGAAGTCAGCTTGCAGACCGTCCCAATGATAATGAAGGTGGCAAGGCACACTGAACTGATAGCTTTTAATGTGGCCACCTTGGGAGGAGCTCCCATTATATTGGGGATGAGCTGGCTAGCGTTACATGATCCGCTGGTGGGCTGGCATCAGAGAGTGGTTTCTTTTGGGTCAGCACATTGCTTAGAACATTGCAAAGAGGGAAAGGTTTTGGCAGGGGCCCAAGCCACCCTAGCAGGGACTGAAGTGAAGGAGAACGTGAAGGTACCACGACAATACGCAGATCTCCGCGACGTCTTCAGCGAAAGGGAAGCTGACCAACTACCACCGCATAGAGCCTTTGACTGTCAAATCAATTTGCTCCCTGGGGCACAGCTCCCTGTGGGCAAGCTGTACGCCATGTCAGACAGAGAGATGCAGGAGCTAAGAGAGTTCATTGACAAGAACCTGAAGAGAGGGTTCATCAGAGAGTCCAGGGCGGTGTGGGGCAGCCCAGTGTTTTTGTGGACAAAAACACGAACAAGCCGAGACTGGTGTGTGACTTCAGGGCCTTAAATGCAGTGTCAGAACCAGTGGCCTTCCCGATGCCCAGGATTGACGACATTTTGACAAGGGTGCGAAAGGGAAAGATTTTCACCAAGCTGGATCTAAGGGGGCGTACAACCTGATACGAATAAGGAAGGGGGATGAATGGAAAACCACCATGTTCACCCCTTTAGGGGCATTTGAATACTTAGTTATGCCCTTCGGTCTACAAGCAGGCTCCGCAACATTTCAATCGTTTATGAACCACGTCCTGGGGCCGTTGCTTTACAAGAATTGTGTGGCCTTCTTAGACGACGTGTTGGTGTATTCTGAGAATGAGGAGCAGCATGTGAGAGACGTCAGAGAAGTGTTGAGCAGGCTGCAAGCCAACCAGCTGTGGGTGAAACTGGAGAAGTGTCAGTTTCATACCAAGGAGGTGGAATTCCTGGGGTATCGCCTGTCTGACAAGGGGTTGGCCATGGATCCCGGCAAGGTCCAGGCGGTACTGGAATGGAAAACACCCAAAACAAGGAAGGATGTGCAGAGGTTTTTAGGGTTTGGGAACTTCTATCGTAAGTTCATCCCAAACTTTGCCCACCTGACGGCGCCCATTACGGACTGTCTCAGCAGTAAGAAGAAGTTCGTTTGGACGGAGGAGGCGGAGCAAGCATTTGAGGAACTAAAAGGGCCTTCGCCTCGGAACAACAGCTCCTGCATGTGGATTTACAAAACCGATGAGAGTGGAAACTGACGCATCAGACAGAGCGGTTGGGGCGGTGCTTCTCCAGCCAGGGAAGGAGGAGTCAGAGTGGAGACCGTGTGCTTTTTTCGCGAAAGCTGAACAAATCCGAGAGGAACTACACGGTGTATGACCGAGAACTACTAGCCATTCATGAGGCGTTCCGGAGATGGAGGCACCTGCTAATTGGCGCACAACATAAGGTGCAAGTGTGCACTGACCACAAGAACCTAGAGTATTGGAGGACGGCACGAGTGCTCAACCAACGGCAAGTGAGATGGGCCCAGGAATTCTCCAAATTTAACTTTGAGATTTGTTACGTGCCAGGCCCAGAGAACATTAGGGCGGACGCTCTCTCACGCAAACCTGAATATTGGGAGGGGAGGGAGCACCCGAAGAGAGACATGTCATTCCAGAGGACCGCTGGGTGTGTGGGGCGGCATTGGTGGGACAAAGAGAACTGGTAGAAGAAACAGAGAATGATGAATACGCCCAGAATAAGCTCAGAGGTCTTAGGGATGAGGGAGAGGAATCAAGGGGTTTCGAGGAAAGAAATGGAGCTTTGTATTACAAAGGGGCACTGTATATCCCTGAAGGAGACTTAAGGGGAGGGTACTCAAGCAGTTGCATGACAGCCCCACGGCGGGCATTTTGGGCAACACAAAACCATGTGGTTGGTCACCAGGGAATTTTGGTGGCCTAAGGTGAGGGAGGATGTACGTGAGTATGTAAGAGGGTGCGAGCAGTGCCAGCGAGCCAAAGGGGAAAGGCGGGCGCCGGCGGGGCTATTAGAACCCTTACCAACACCAGAACGACCTTGGGAGGCAGTGTCGATAGATTTTATGACTGATCTGCCGAAGTCCAAAGGGAAAACAGCCATCATGGTGGTGGTAGACCTACTAACAAAGATGTGCCACTTTGTAGCTTGCTCGCATGCAGTCACGGCGGAAGAGACAGCGAGGTTATT